AAAGTATATGTTTAATAAAACAAAAAAGGCCATTTTACTCCCTGAAGAAAATGGATTGTTCGCATAACACCCTGAACTTTTTCTGGTTCACTAAACCGGATCTATCCCAAACCGTTCAAAAATAATCTCTAGCTAATTTTCTAAGCTCATTCGCACACATGAACACGACCAAGGCCGTATTTGACCAATGGGGCCCTTTCGTCAGCCGCAGCCCCTCTCTTCTCCTATGCGACGAGAACAATCGACACTCAGTTTATGCCGCCGGCGCTCTAGTTCTTCGCCCGCTCGGCCAACACCCCCCTCTTGTGTTAAAGACCTTGCCCTAGAGCTTCCCCTCGCTCCACTCTATGTTCCTGCCAAAGGACTTTGTCCGACTCACTATAAATCGCCAGCACCTATGTATTCTTCCCCGCCTCCAGCATCAACCATCGCCATCTCGATCTCTTCCTCCGGTGACCCCCTCTTCTCTTCCTTTGAGCATCATGATGCTGCTCTGAAGTTGACCGCCCCGTCCATTTGGAGTCGTGCGTCCCCGAGGACCTTTCCCCGCATGGCCATGCTCCGGCCCCCGCTACGGCTATAGGTGGTGCATGTTGCAAGTAGGCTACAGAGATGAGGGGGCAAAGAAGCTCCAGAGGAGCAGGGGCTTACCTTGGGGGGTTGGCGCAGGAAAGTAGACTGGGGGTGCTCTGCAGCAACGCCATGGACACCGAAGGCGGCGGCCGGAGTGCAGGCTTGTGGCAAAGGGGCTAGGGGTCGTGAGCTTCCCCCGGAAGCTATCAAGAAGGTGCGAGAGGTGGTCCCGCGTCAGGGAAGGGGTCATGGGGGTCAAGGGACACACTAGTGATGGCAAATTTTGCGCGGTGGCTGGCGGCAATGACAAGGAAGATGACAATGCGAGACTCGATTGGGTTGGCTTGGCGCAGTGAATTTGGCAAAGTTGATGACGACAACTAGGCAGATGTTCCGTACATCTTGGCATGGCTTTGTGCTTCCTCCGGCCATGTGCACGGCGATGATGGCCATTAAGCGAAGCTCAAGCGCTCTCGGGTGGATGTGGACGTCGGAGAGAGGGTAGAGGAGGGCCCCACCGATCAACAAACCATTTTGAGCTCATCCACGTCAGCAAAACCACCCGTGCAAACACATCAATGATGATTTGTGAATGGTTTGGAAAAGATGAGGGGGTTAAATGAACCAAAAAAAGTTCAGGGGATTATCGAACAACACATTTTCTTCGGGGGAGTAAAATGGACTTTTTTCTTAAGAAATGTGAAATCATGTATTTGCAGCATTTTAAATGTGTATACAAAAAATGTACAATATTTATAAAAAGTAAAAATATATTTATTTGGAAAAACCTTAATCTTTTATTTGAAAATTGTTGAAATTTTGTATTAAAATGTTCATGATGCATAAAAAAATTAAAATTTTAATGGAAAAGTAGACATAAAAACATAAGTTTAAAAACTGTTAATCATGTTTTGGAAAAATGTTAAATGTTTATATAAAAAGTTTTCAACATGTATTTGAAGAACGTTGACCATGTATTAGAAAAAGTGTAAAAGCGTACATTGTGTATAAAACAAAGTAGTAATTTCTTGAAAAAAAGAAAACAAATGAAAACCAAAGAAACAAAAGAAACCAAAGAAAAGCATAGAAAACGAAGAGTGAAACAAAGAAAACTGAACGAAGACGAAGAAAAATGAAAAGTAAATTAAAAGAAAATAAAAATAAAAGTTCATAATGTATTTGAAAAATGATGACCATTTATTCGAAAAAGTTTTAAGAACATGCATTTTAAAAAATGTACATGATGTATTTGAAAAATGCTAATTTTTTATCAAAATGTAGACCTGTGTTAAATAAAAGGAAACCAATGAAAACCGACAAAGAAACAAAAACGAAAGAAAAAGGACCAGAAAAACCAAGAAAGAAACTTAGAAACCAATGAAAAGACAAAGAGAAAAAAATAAATAAATAACATGTGCAAACCGAGAAAGGTACAAAGAAAAGCATTGAAAAAATAGAGAAAAACAAATAACCATCGAGTAAAGAAAAAAAACTAAAAACTAAAACCAAAATGAAAAAACCCAGGAAAAGTTAGTAAAGGAACCCAGCGGAACCTAGCAAACTTGATCGAAACCCAGCGAACGCAAGAAAGACAAAGAAAAATGGGTCGGCGCAGTAAGTACAGACAGGGGGAAATCCTTCAGAGAGACGGAAGCTATACTAGCGTTGAGCGAGATATAGTCTTCGCGAGATAGTCTAGCGTCGGCCTTGTAATGCTGGGACAACAAAGGCGTTTACCCTTTTCGAAGAACATGAATTTTAGGAAACTTTGCAGTTGTTTCATCTTAAAATAGCAATGGTAAGGTGGATATTTTTTTTAAAAAGTAGATACAGTATAGTTTGTAGAGGTGGCCACCTTTGACTATATGAAGGAGAGAGCCAAGAAAAAACGAAGAAGTTAATGAATGGTACATGGAGTTTCTGCACGAGAGCTCAAATGCTTGTGCAGGAACAGAAAAATAAAAAACAACGGTTAAAAAAAATATCAAAACATTTTGTAGTTTTGTGATAACAAACATTGATGAATTGTCTAAATGCGTACAAATTTTGATACAAAAACATTTCTAAATGCTCTATAGAAACAAACAACATTTCTAAGAACACTATTTTGAAAGCATTTAAGAGAAATTATTATTTTGCCTAGACCATTAGGAATGTTTTACTTAAGAAAAATTTGTACGTTTGTAGAAATTTCCTCAATGTTTGTTGTACAAATGTTGAGATTTTTTTACCATCTGTTTTGATTTTGCTTTTCATGAGGAAGCAATTGAGCTCGCGAGCAGAATGACACTTCCAATAATTAATGGTACTCCTTAGTTCCGACACCCCACTGGTATATCTCTTGAGCAAGTGGCATAGTATCCTAGAATTTATTTGATCAAAGAATTAGAGTCACAATTAATATATTTTTCCTGTCGTTATTTCCAATAACCAACAGGTTATCGGTTTTTCTTCGAACCCTAAGAAGCAGCGCCATCGTTTAATTTCTTTTTGAAAATTTCAAATTTAAATGTTGATGCCACGGAATCAAACAATGTATTCCCCATGTTTTTTGTAAACATTTAAACGACACATAGATGACTGCAACCAATCTTTGATGGTTACTCACCCTGCCATAGGCACAATCAATCTGAACAATGAGGTTCCAATCTTGCAAGCAATCAAAGAACTGAAAAAAACTGTGATAATGCAATCTAAATTAATCACATGATAATGGAAGGGATCCTAATAGAGGATATGAACAAAGAGATACTCCTGCACATCTAAAATATGCGAATTGTAGCAAAGCTAAAAAATGTCTAACCAAGAAACCTGGAGTAATGTGCACAACTAGATGAAAAAATATGGACGCCAATACCTGGCGATCGTCAGCTAAGGGGGCAGGGGTTGCCTCCAGCGAACGATTAGGTGATGAGATCGGTCGACCGAGGCCTATTTCTGACCAGTGTTGCTACGTGTACACCTTCACCAATCACAAATCACCTTCTTCCTCTGAAGCATAAACCATCCCCTCCGCATCTCTTTTTTCCCTTGTATCTCAGTCCTATTCACGCATAAGGATACATGAACGATCCGACCGGATACATGTGTAGGGTGCCTGATACCCCTAAATACAAGAGAGTTCTTGGAGTCCCAAATCTTCCAAAGGATGGTGAGCGCCAAAGAGTGCCAAACCTCCTGGTCGAGATCAAGCGTGATGGCGATGTCCCAAGTAGCGTCGATGGAGGTCGGCATGGGGAGTTGGAGAGCTGACCACACTGCCACAGAGTGAGGATGCTGAAGGAAAATATGCGCGATATCCTCATAAGGAGCAGTGCACCGTGCGCAAGTAGCGTTGGAGACAATGGTCTTCCGGAAGACGTTGTTTACGATGGATCTATGCATGTGGAATCTAAACTCCAGCGTTTAATTTGTTGCATCTTGCACCTCCTCAATCGCATGATCATATATAATCTTCATTCATGGTTATGGGTTATGGAGTCGCGTCTGCTATCTCCTCGATCTGTGGACTGTGGTACGTACAACTACTACAACCGTCGAGGACCAACTGGTAATTAATTAACCCATTAATTAATCATCATGTACTAACTGTAATCATTTGTTCCATTCGCGGCGTGCTAGGGAGCAGAAGCCATGGCTGGACATGAGATCGGTGGGTCTCTTCTCAAAAGGGGATGACATGGCTCACGGGGCGGGCGGAGGCGATTTGTGACTAGTGAAGGCACGTGGCAACTACTGACCAGGCAACAGACCCGGTCGTGTAGGGATTTCTCCCGGCTACGAAAGTACCGATGGAGGAGCGCATGCACACCGCTCAGCGTCCTCCACACCAGCGGAAGCCAACTGGAAGGAGAACCGAGGTAAGAATCGAATCGCAGCACACACCGCCCAGATGATTTTGCTTCTCTTGGATCTTGGCGTGATTCTTGATTCAACACCGCATATCCCTTTCTATGAGTAACGTCAATGCAAGTAGTAGTACATCTATGCGTCATTGTGGTGATGCCGGTGGCCACGCCGTCTCTGCGCGCGCTCCCGATGAGGTCGAGGGAGCTGTGCGACACGCCGGAGAATCGGCCGCAGGCGGCGCCGGTGATCATCGGGGGGTTTCTGCTGGTCACCACGTCGGGATTTCAGTTGACAGGCAGAGGGGAGGCAGGGACCAGTGGGCGAGACAGCTCATCGGGACAAGCGGCAGGAGAAATCTCTCGTGATTTTCCTTGCCGGCCGTATAAATAGGTTCGATGCAAAATTCCGGCCGGATTCGCATTTAGGAGTACATGAAACCGGGCCAAGTATATAATACTACTCTCTCTGTAAAGAAATATAAGAGTGTCTAGATCACTACTTTAATGATCTAAACACTCTTATATTTGTTTACGGATGGAGTACTATACGCGTCTTTTTTATCGTGCATTGCTTCATTCATGTCCTGGCTAGTACAATATATCACTGCAAACAAATTTTGCACTCGATGCAGGGCCTACTCTAACGGGATGTGCACGTCTTGTGAAAGCTGCAAACGGCGGGATGAGTATTACTACAGAAATTTGGATGATGAGAAGAAATATTTCTTGGTGCTTATGATTGGTGATTTCCGAGATGAGATGGTAACACTTGAATACAGTTCCATTCTTATCGTGCCATTTTTTTTTGTAAGACCACTAGACCAGTGATGTTTCTACTATCTATCCAGAGTAGTTTTTGGTAAGACCAGTGCCATTTTTTTATGCGTTCGTTGAGAGGCGGACTATTCTATATAGAGTACCAAAATGATATTGGAAAATTAAAGTAGTTAGTTTACATAAAATCAATGCATATATACAACATGATTATAGCTAGTGTCTTTTGGATCTTGCGAATAAACAGTCTGACCAAACTTTTGTTGTTGTTGTTATTTCTTCCTGTAGGTAATCCCAGAAGAACTTGTGCAGCGTTTCAAAAGGGAAATCCTAGGGGAGATCAAGCTAGAAACCCGAAATGGTGACAGTCACGCTGTTGTGGTCGCCAAGATCCAAGAAAAGCGTATCTTTACAGTGGGTTGGAGGCAATTTGTTGCAAACTATGATCTACAGATTGGTGATCTCTTAATGTTCAGATACAAAGGAAACAGTCAGTTTAATGTCATAATCTTTGATAAACTTGGTCGTGAAAAGGCCTCATCGGCTGTTCTGGATCCTTTTATACCTCGTGTCCAAGACAGGGGCAACGAGGCGCATGAAATCGGGTGAAGTGCTAGTCTTTATTATTCACGGCTTCATTTCCTGGTACAAAATTTCAATTCAAATGGCTTTTGCACTGCAGGTCTTCTGAAAAGATGGATGTGCAATGTGGAAGATGCAACAACTGGCTTGAATATCACTACGCGGACTTGGATAATGAAAATAAATATTTCTTGATGCTTATGATGGGCGATTTTCAATATGAGATGATAAATTCATATTCAGATATATTGCCAACTCCCTTTTGTCAGTAAATTTGTTGTTTTCTTTCATAGACCAATGATTTTCTACTTTTAGTTTAAATTATGTGGATATATTTATTGCTGTAGACTTTGGAGACATGCACAAACTATATGTACTTTTTTCAAAATTTGCTCAATGTCTGCTATTAATTTGCTGCTTGGATTGAGTCCAGCATGGTAGCACATTAATTCAGGTATGCTAGTTTGCACAAAGTTTCCTCATATTCAAAGATACCAGGCTTTTTGGTTTTCACATTTTTCCTTTGATACTATAGTCTATACAAGCCTTCTGTATTTTCCTTGCTATATGTTATGTAGTGGGTTACCGAACCGTCAAATAGGCTTTGATTTTAGAGATCATCTTTTTTTATCCTGTTTAGAATCCATTCAAACTAAAAAAATATTGGTTCTTTTTCTCCAGATCATCCCAGAAGGAATTCTTGAGCGTTTCAAGGGCGAGTTCCCAAGAGAGATCAAACTTGAAACACAAAATCGTCGCAGCTACAAAATTGGAGTCGCCGAGAACAAACTAGACACTTGCTATAATCAAAAGCTTGTCTTTTCAGTGGGATGGGGGAAGTTCATCGAAACCTTTGGGCTACAGACGGGTGACACCATAGTACTCATATACAATGGCAACTCCCAATTTAGTGTCATAATATTCGATAAACATGGCTGCGAGAAGGCATTATCAGTTATTGTAGACCCTGTTCCGCCTCCTGTTCAAGGAAGGCGTCCCTGCAGTACTGATATAGTGAAAAGTTCCCATTTTCTTCCTCGGCCTATGCAAAGGCAGCCATTTATCATAGTGAATGGGCTCCCATTGGAATCACCGCCAACCGAAGGGCAGTGGCGTGCCCAACTGGAAATGGACAAGTCATGTCAAGGCAGCAGGGCTGCAATAAATACTCCCCCCTCCGAGTCATCTGGTCTCAGTTAATATTATAGATATATCTTCCCTTGCAAATCATTCTCATATTTTTATAGCTGTCTATATTCAGTAGTTCTCTTTTTCTTTGCACAGGAGGTTCTTTATCCTCTGAACATGGCCATGGAGTACGTGATGTGCCCGTTTCCAGCAACATTGTCAAGAGGAAGGCTAAGATATCTTCATCTCAGAAGGAGCAGTTGAGGGACGGCTACATTACCGCACACAAGACCAAGCTAACTTCAGCTCAAAAGGACGTGGTGAAACAGAAGGTCCAATCTCTTGAGTCAAAGATCCTCATCTTTGTTGCTGTGATGTACAAGTGCAATGTGGAGTCACCATTCTTTCTGGTGAGTTCCATTTTTCTAATGTGTGATCTACTTCGATCATGTAGGTGTCTGTGTGAAGTGTAAACCAATACCTGTAGGAAGCAGTTGACATGTTATTCTACATAGACTGATTCATGCCATTATCAAGTAACTCTTTTGTTCAAATCTGTAAGCAGACTTTCCCCAACTACTATGCTCAGAAGTATCTTGGAGAGGAGGCACGGATGCATCTTGAGCTGCTTGGTGTGAAGTGGCAAGTGCGGTTTCCAAACAACCGTGGCGACAAAAAGCTCAAACATGGATGGAAACAGTTTGCGCAAGCCAACAACCTGAAGATGGGTGATATCTGCCTCTTTGAACTACTGAGCAATCAGAGTACCATGGTGGTCTATGTCATCCCTGCAAATGATGCCAATGTTGATTGATACTGCTAATGCTTTTGTGTTGGTGATAGTGCTTTCATTTAATTTGTTGTTGGTTAGTGAATCGTTGGTGAGGGCAGTATTGAAGTTGTGTTAGTTAGTGAATTGTCTGTGAAGTTTTCTGCTTTTCTTACAAGGATAACTGATTCCTTGTTAATTAGTTGACTACTACTTAACTCGCATAATGATGAATGATGCATACTTTTGATGCAAGACTGAATAAGTAATGTAATTGTGTTGTGTTGAATTTATGTTCATTGGATTTTGGACTCCCTTCCTTCAAATTAGGTCTATCAGGTTCCGTTTTCCCAATTTTTTTTAAGAAAATGTAATCTTTCATTACCCCCTGAAAGTTTATATGGAACAATGAGTTGGATCCAAACATCTTATCGTGATGTTGGTCATGCTTTATATTGCCAAGCAAACTTGCAGGTCAAGAGATCACCAGTAGAGGAGATATCTAGGGTTACAATCATGACGGATACAACACATTTTTTTCCTGACAGCCTATCACAAGTTCACAACACGAATCGTGTTAGCATGGGATCATAATTCAAACTAGAACTTATTATCTCTAACTCTACCCTCAACACAACCTTATAAAAGTCTAGGATTGTGAAACAATGCTCTTGGTTGTTCTACGCCCACCACTCATCGGCTTAGATAGACCATCATCTAGCTGATCTTGCAAGAAATGAATCCGATTTCCAAAGCTTTACGTGCCAGTGTGCCACGTGTGCTCTGACAGAGTAAAATCCACCTCTATGTGCTTAGTCCTTGCATGGAGCACTAGGGTAGCGGATAAATATGTCACCTCAACATAATCGTGCATAATTGTTGGTGCTTCCTCCCGATACACACTGAGTTGTCCAAGAAAGGACTGTAACGAAATAATATAAAAAATAGCACTATTTGGGTGCCATGTAGTTTGGTTTGGTACTTGATCGAGACATTGTCCGTTGTGTGCATGAGCTCTACGAGATCAACTCTGACTAAGGAACTCAACAAAGCCGCTTATTGATCGTCTATCATTGGCCGAGCCTACCTAATCAACGCTTGTGAATGCACTAATGTGTGTAGAGAATGATATCTGAATGTGAACTTTCATCTTGATAGCATGCTTCAGGTATATATGCCAAGATGCTGGCCAATGTTCATTAACATGCCCTAATAAGTATTAACAATTTTTATTAATGATGAAGGTATGTCGGGTTGTCATATATTGTAGCACCATTGAATAATTTGAGTTTCTTATATTAGAAAATGTACCTCCTCATTAGGAAGAATATGATACAATTTCTCTTTGCTGAGTGATAGCTTCAACTTCTTACTGCAAGTCTGCAACCCTTATATTTTGTACCAATGATGTTCTATACTTGCAATGCAAAACATCTATGCTTAACCAACAAGTGGTTGGATGGTTAGGACCGTTCTGGTGCCGTGTGGCAGAGTGAAGCCCACATCGGGCCTCGGGCCATCTTGAAGCATCATGTTGTAGTATTATTTTATAGTAAGTTCTATAGTGTGAAGTATTTTGGCCTCATGACTAGGGCAGCGGCCTGATGTGCCTTATGTCTACTACACAACTTATTCTTGTAGACTCATGTTGGGCCTCCAAGCGCAGAGTTTTGTAGGACAACAACAAATTTCCCTCAAATGGATGACCTAAGGTTTATCAATCCGTGGGAGGCGTAGGATGAAGATGGTCTCTCTCAAACAACCCTGCAATCAACAAACAACAACAACAACAAAGCCTTTAGTCCCAAACAAGTTGGGGTAGGCTAGAGGTGAAACCCATAAGATCTCGCAACCAACTCATGGCTCTGGCACATGGATAGCAAGCTTCCACGCACCCCTGTCCATAGCTAGCTCTTTGTCGATACTCCAATCCTTCAGGTCTCTCTTAACGGACTCCTCCCATGTCAAAATCGGTCGACCCCGCCCTCTCTTGACATTCTCCGCACGCTTTAGCCGTCCGCTATGCACTGGAGCTTCTGGAGGCCTGCGCTGAATATGCCCAAACCATCTCAAACGATGTTGGACAAGCTTCTCCTCAATTGGTGCTACCCCAACTCTATCTCGTATATCATCATTCCGGACTCGATCCTTCCTCGTGTGGCCACACATCCATCTCAACATACGCATCTCCACCACACCTAACTGTTGAACATGTCGCCTTTTAGTCGGCCAACACTCCGCGCCATACAACATTGCGGGTCGAACCGCCGTCCTGTAGAACTTGCCTTTTAGCTTTTGTGGCACTCTCTTGTCACAGAGAATGCCAGAAGCTTGGCGCCACTTCATCCATCCGGCTTTGATTCGATGGTTCACATCTTCATCAATACCCCCATTCTCCTGCAACATTGACCCCAAATACCGAAAGGTGTCCTTCCGAGGTACCACCTGGCCATCAAGGCTAACCTCCTCCTCCTCACAGCTAGTAGTACTGAAACCGCACATCATGTACTCGGTTTTAGTTCTACTAAGCCTAAACCCTTCCGATTCCAAGGTTTGTCTCCATAACTCTAACTTTCTATTTACCCCCGTCCGACTATCGTCAACTAGCACCACATCATCCGCAAAGAGCATACACCATGGGATATCTCCTTGTATACCCCTTGTGACCTCATCCATCACCAATGCAAAAAGATAAGGGCTCAAAGCTGACCCCTGGTGCAGTCCTATCTTAATCGGGAAGTCATCGGTGTCGACATCACTTGTTCGAACACTTGTCACAACATTATTGTACATGTCCTTGATGAGGGTAATGTACTTTGCTAGGACTTTGTGTTTCTCCAAGGCCCACCACATGACATTCCGCGGTATCTTATCATAGGCCTTCTCCAAGTCAATGAACACCATATGCAAGTCCTTCTTATGCTCCCTATATCTCTCCATAAGTTGTCGTACCAAGAAAATGGCTTCCATGGTCGACCTCCCAGGCATGAAACCAAACTGATTTTTGGTCACGCTTGTCATTCTTCTTAAGCGGTGCTCAATGACTCTCTCCCATAGCTTCATTGTATGGCTCATCAGCTTAATTCCACGGTAATTAGTACAACTCTGAACATCCCCCTTGTTCTTGAAGATTGGTACTAATATACTCCATCTCCATTCTTCTGGCATCTTGTTTGCCCGAAAAATGAGGTTGAAAAGCTTGGTTAGCCACACTATCGCTATGTCCCCGAGACCTTTCCACACCTCAATGGGGATACAATCAGGGCCCATCGCCTTGCCTCCTTTCATCCTTTTTAAAGCCTCCTTCACCTCAGACTCCTGGATGCGCCGCACAAAACGCATGCTGGTCTCATCAAAGGAGTCATTCAGTTCAATGGTAGAACTCTCATTCTCCCCATTGAACAGCTTGTCGAAGTACTCCCGCCATCTATGCTTAATCTCTTCGTCCTTCACCAAGAGTTGGCCTGCTCCGTCCTTGATGCATTTGACTTGGCCAATATCCCTCGTCTTCCTCTCCCGGATCTTAGCCATCTTATAGATGTCCCTTTCACCTTCCTTCGTGCCTAACCGTTGGTAGAGGTCCTCATATGCCCGACCCCTTGCTTCACCAACAGCTCGCTTTGCGTCCTTCTTCGCCATCTTGTACTTGTCTATGTTGTCTGCACTCCTATCCAGGTATAGGCGTCTGAAGCAATCTTTCTTCTCTTTAAGCGCCTTCTGGACATCATCATTCCACCACCAGGTATCCTTATCTTCGCTTCTCCTTCCCCTGGACACTCCAAACTCCTCCGAGGCCACCTTACGAATGCAAGTCGCCATCTTCATCCACACATTGTCCGCATCCCCTCCTTCCTCCCAAGGGCCCTCCTTAAATACCCTCTCCTTGAACACCTGAGCTACCTCCCCCTTGAGCTTCCACCACTTCGTTCTAGCGACATTGGCACGCTTATCCCGCTGGACACGAATCCGAAAGCGGAAGTCAGCAACCACCAGCTTATGCTGGGGTACAACACTCTCCCCAAGTATCACCTTACAGTCTAGGCACGCACGCCTATCTTCTCTTCTCGAGAGGATGAAATCAATCTGGCTAGAGTGTTGGCCACTACTAAAAGTCACCAGATGTGATTCTCTCTTTCTAAAGAGGGTGTTAGCTACAATCATGTTGTAGGCTAGAGCAAAGCTTAAGACATCTTCTCCTTCTTGATTCCTGATGCCATAGCCAAAGCCCCCATGCGCCCCTTCAAAACCTGTGTTAGATGTACCCACGTGGCCATTGAGGTCTCCTCCTATGAAGAGCTTCTCACCAATCGGTACACTCCTAACCATGTCTTCCAAGCCTTCCCAGAACTCCCTCTTGGTGTTCTCATTGTGGCCTACTTGCGGGGCATATGCACTGATAACATTGAGAACCAAGTCCTCAGCTACCAGCTTGACCAGGATAATCCGGTCCCCACGTCTCCTGACGTCTACCACTCCATACTTGAGGCTCTTGTTGATCAAGATGCCTACGCCATTTCTGTTTGCAGCCGTCCCCATGTACCACAGCTTGAAGCCGGTATCCTCCACCTCCTTCGCCTTCTGTCCTCTCCATTTGGTTTCTTGGACGCAAAGGATATCAACACCTCTCCTCACTGCTGCATCAACTAGCTCCCGAAGCTTCCCTGTCAGAGACCCTACGTTCCAGCTACCTAAGCGAATCCTCCTAGGCTCGGCTAGCTTCCTTACCCTTCGCACTCGTCGAGTCAAATGCGAAGACCCTTGCTCATTTTCCACTACATCCGGGCGCCGATGTAGCGCGCCACTAAGGATGCGACGACCCGATCCTCGCTCACTTGCCACCGTATCCGGATCAAGATACGGCGCGCCACTTGGGGGGTGACGGCCCGGCCCTTGCCCATTTTCCACCACACCCGGGTTCCGATGTGGCGCGTCGCTGAGAGGGTTACGCCCCAATGAAAATCTTTTGGGTTTCATCTCCATAAGAGTGGCTGAGTTTTTACGTTGGCTCGCCAAGCCTATCACAACCCTCCTCCTTTACCCGGGCT